CAGGTGGTGACGGCTGCGGTAGGCGGCCAGCACCAGCGCGCCGCCCAGCGACAGGTGCACGCCCAGCCAGAGGTCGGCCAGCGCGGCCAGCAGCGGCCGGCAGCGCGGCGCCGCCAGCGTGGCCAGTGACGCCGAGGCCGTGGCCGGGTAGGAGAGCACCAGCAGCGCGTTGACGAGCCGCTGTCGGGGCGGGTAGCGGCGCGCGATGTGCAGCACCACACAGCCGGCCGTGTGGCTCACGTAGAGCCAGCAGAGACCGGCGCTGAGCCAGAGACCGGCCGCCACCGGGCCGAGCGCGGCCACCAGCTGTGCCCCGGTCGGCACCCGCCAGTCGTCAGCTTCTGCCGCTGCTGCTGAGACTGGAGCGGGCACCGGGGCCATATCTGCGGGCACTGAACCGCTGGATGTGGTGCCGGAATTCTGCTCGGCTCAGACAAGTCACTGTGGATGCTCGCAGGATCGCAGTGTAGGTGGCAGCCACCCTAGCTGCGCCGGCTACGGGTGCCGTACGATGGAATATTGAGATATCCGTAGAGCTACCCGAGTTCGTACTGGGCTTCCAATACTCTCTACTCGGACTGATGGAGCTTAACGGTGCTTTCGACAAGCACTCGGTCTTCATGTCCGCCTACATGTTAGCAACCAACGACTACGGTGGTCTCCACGAAGCAGCAATAAGGTGTATCACGTCCGTCAGCTACGCTACGTTGACAAACAAGCTCACTCACATTCCGCCACCAACTACGGTTCCCTAGCACGGGCGTTCTGTTTCGTGTTGCCACCGTGTTGTGAGCCAGCTGACCTACAGATTACGGAGATGGGTCACGATCTGTCCACCCATCGTGTTTGCATCACCACTATACGAGCGAGCCTCGGCATACGACAGAGATAAAACAGCGTTCAGTGATGCAGGCGATCCCGATTGGCGCTGCTCCTGATACCGGGCTTATTTGTTGAAAATGCGCATGACAGATTGAAGTCGTAACATCGCTGCTGCATAAGTCATATGGATTATCTAGTTCGGGAATGTCTAACGGCAGAAAACTGTGCAATTTTAGCAACGCTGCAGCGCTATGCCCGGTTACGGTTCGGCGGGTGTCGGCCTGCAGACGCGCAGCCGTGAGCCAAGTCGCGTCGTGCGCGGTCCAGTTCCGCAGCTGGTCACGACAACGTGGCGGGCTGCACTGTTCAGTGACAGCGCTGACGCATGCTGCATTCGCTCACTCGTACAAACTCTTGTCGAAGCGGGACTAGATCCGCTTCAGTTCAGCACTCATTGCTTGCCGGGTTTAGCTGCACTATTACATCAACCAGACCTGTGGGAGTGACAAGTCCACCGCACGTGGCAGTCAGACGTCCGTCCAAGGTGTCACCGTTTTGTGTCACCACTCACCAGAGAGCAGAGCATAACCAGCCTGCCAGCATGTGTCACGATTTTAGTGAAAGGACCCTGTGACCTGTCAAGGTGGCCATTTCGTTAATAAACACACCGATGTGTCTGATTAGGTTCGGCAGCCCGATTAGCATGGATGGACGACTCTGCTCACTGCTCAGCACGGTTTTCCTAATCAGTGAATTGTGAAACTACGTTGCCTAACACGATATGAATGATGCAGTGATTAGCCAGATGTCATCGATTTTGATGATGATATTGTTTCCTCTGATTTTGAGCAACTTAGGCTTTTATTCATGCCATAGCCCTTGCCTACTATTTCCTTGCAGTCTCTATGACCTATTACTACCTTCAGAATACACTCGCCTACGATTGCGGCATAAAATGACTACCCTAAGATCTAAGTACTGTTCTGTCATATCACCGACCTCTCAGCAGCGGCAGTGAGGGAGCGGGGGGCCGGCGGACGCGGTCGGCGCCCCGGGTCACCCCTGTGGCCCCGTCTCGTGTTGTCCCTCTCTCAGACCGCGCTGTCCCGACGTCCGGGGTGGGTCCCGAGTCGGCAGACCGTCTCCGGTGGCACCGGCCGGTGTCAGGTGCACCGGACACGGCCCGACCCTGCCGCTGAGTCGGAACGGGCCGAGAGAAGGACCCCCAGCTCATAGTGTAATGTTTAGGTTCTGATCCCCGGCTGTTTTACCTTCATCGATAGAGGATGAAAAGTCCATATTCTTGGAGGCTACAAATGCGCCGTTAAATTGGCGTGACCTAAAATATTTTCGAAACGTGTTGGTGTAAAGGTGTCGCAGCTTTTTTTCGTGTGATTGAAAACGGCTTCGTGACCGCACCGCTCAAGGTGCTGGGTTCAAACGGCTGTGCCTTTTATCGCTGGTTCAGCCATTGCAAGATCGTATATACGAGCCACGAGCTGTTTTTGTGGAGTAGTCACGATCCGTTTCTCTGCTCGGCAGTCCTGCAGCACCCGTGACCTTTTGATGTTGGTGCCGCCTCACTCGCAGGCTCCGGTCGCGTGACACATTTATCGGTGAAAAGGCGCAAAGAAGTGCTCTCTTTATGAAGTGAGAAATTATTTTCCATTGATTTTGTTCACTTGAAAAAGTAGGGTTGTGGAGTTGATCCGGGAAATCGGGAAATAGATTCTAACATTTTTTATGGGGCTCTGCAAAGACGAGCTAATAACACTATGCAACAGTCATTTTGTTCCTGAGTAACGACCGATTTTTTTGGACTCATTGGGTCCCATTATAACCGAAATGGGCATTTGTTTTGATCTGAAAATGCTTTTCCGGTTTTCAGAGACGATTTTCGATTTTTGGCCCCGAAATTCGGTTTTTGGCCCACTGTGTCCGGTGTAATTGAGTAATCGACTCGCGGTAACTTTCATCGCCCTTCCTATGCCACAAGCTTTCGAATGATATCGGTTTTGCATATTTGCGTGTAAAAAAAAACGTCATAAATCTATGTTAAAGTAAGAAAATATTGAAATTTTGTAAAAATTTGACATTTTTTCGATTTCATTTCAAAATAGAGAAAAAACTAAAGGCCCTATCCAAATTCTGAGCCCAGTTCCTTGAAGAGCATTCAATTTCCGTTCGGAAGGTACTATTTTAGTGCATTTTATCGGTTTACTGTGGCGTCCAGATTGAGTCACTTGAAAAACGGGCCCCCAACAGATCAAGATTCTGAGCGACAGGACTGCTCAAAAGTAAGTTCCTGCGTGTGACCCGAGGTCACGAGGGGTCAACAAAATGACCTCAGTTGACCCCTCGTTGATCCTATGGCGTTAACATACGTTATCAGGTTAATGCTATGTGATATGACTTATGTGTTTAGGTTAACTCAATCTGGACGCCACAGGAATCCGATAAAATGCACTAAAAAGGTACCTTCCGAACGGAAATTGAATGCTCTTCAAGGAACTGGGCTCAGAATTTGGATGGGGCCTTTAGTTTTTCCTCTATTTTGAAATGAAATCGAAAAAATGTCAAATTTTTACAAAATTTCAACATTTTCTTACTTTAACATAGATTTATGACGTTATTTTTGCACGCAAATATGCAAAACCAGATATCATTCGAAAGCTTGTGGCATAGGAAAGGCGATGAAAGTTACCGCGAGTCGATTACTCAATTACATCGGACACGGTGGGCCAAAAACCGAATTTCGGGGCCAAAAATCGAAAATCGTCTCTGAAAACCGGAAAAGCATTTTCAGATCAAAACTAATGCCCATTTCGGTTATAATAGGACCCAATGAATAAGAAAAATTCGGTCGCTTTCCAGGAACAGAAAATTTTTCATTTTTTGTTGCATAGTGTAATGAACGGAAAGCTAGCCCTGCTGCTTTTTCGAAGTCAAGTGAGGTCTGCGGTAGTTCCTGAAATATTTGCGGTGCTGGTAGCCTGGCCTTAGGTACTTGAATTAGGGGACTTTCCTGCGCCTTTAATCGATACGCATTACACATGTGTTGCGTATAGCATCTACGTTACAATACGCACATTGAAATGGCACGTGTAGCGTTTTGTCATTGTCAGATGACGATAAAGCGCTTTGTATCCTTGTTTGCGCTCTGCTCCGCCGCAGCTCCATGTGCGCAGCAGTTTGACGTGTGGTGCATTGTCCTGCAGCATTTGTTTGCAGATAGTTAGCCCCTGGCAAACGTTCCGAGCTCATTCATTAACGGAGTGAATTATATGTTCTGCAGTTAACAATGGTCTTGGTCGGTCTTGGATCGTGCCTAGCCCTTTTAATATGAATAATTCCGTCATGTGTGAGCTGGTGTACAAATTGCTCGCTCGTGAGTTCAGTAACTGATTATTTTGTGTTTAAGACGTTGGTTATGCCACAGTGTTTAAAAATGTCTCTGCGTTTTGCTTCTGTTCTGCCATCTGGAAATGTTTTGTAGCGCTTGCGGCTCTGGCCTAAACTGGTATGGTGCAGCTCAGGTTCTACTTACTTGAGGACTGCATTTCTTCAGGAAATGGGTCTGGCCGTCAATCATTCCTGACTGTAGGGTGGCGACCCCACTAACACAACACAGTAACTGGTATGTCGAAACGTGGTGTCTGTTCTTGTAGCACTGCGGGATGCAACCAACTAACTGTAAAGTGCGCGAATGAGCTGTCAACAATTGTTACGGGTTCGTGAGGATGTTTTTTTCTTCAAATGTCCGCTGTCAATCCACGGCATACGGTAATAAACGTTTGACGAAACCCTTCCTCATTTATTACGTTTCCGGGCCGCATATTGAGCTGCTAGGAAAGTTCAGAGCAGCGATGTTTCACTTACCACGCACAAAATTGTAGAACGAGTTATAGGAGAAACAATATTGCAAACGAATGAGAATGAACTTTTGAAACATATTAAAGATGCAAAAGCAAAATTTATAACAGATTTGCGCTCCACGAGCGATTTATAACTTGTTGCGTTATTCTTCGTGGCTTTGTTCTTTTTAGCCGAGTCACTTGGCGCCGGGTATCTGAACCATCGGACCGAGTGGGCCAACCAAGATTACCTTACTACTGACCGACAGACACCCTGTGTCTGGATCAGCCTCTGCCACTCTGACCCTGTGTCTGTCTCCGCAGGCTCACGGCCATCCCGGAGGTGCTCTACTCGGTGCCTTCCCTGGAGATCATCCTGGCCAGCGACAACCAGATCACCGAGATCCAGGTGGAGCCGCTCCGCAAGCTCACCCGGCTCGCCACGCTCGACCTGCGCAACAACAGCATCGCTCACGTGCCGGCCAAACTCGGCTACATGGAGCAGCTCAGGTGGGCGAGAGCGCGGGACGGAGGGTGGCCCGCCCCGGCCCGGCCCGGCCCGTCCGCCTGAGCTGGCGTCATTTACCCCTCCGCGGAGATAGTTGGTAGTTCGGGAGCAGAACTTACGACAGATGACGAAATTGGAGGCTGGCTGCCAGGAACCTGATGAATAGTTTTTAGAGCGAATTCCGACTTTATTTTATGTATTCTATTTGTTCAAAGTCGTTCGTTTATTTATAAGTTTTGTTAATTGGTTTCTTTATCAGAAAATGAATATAATTAAAATTGAATAAATGTAGGAGGTGAAGTATGAAGAATACCTTTGTGTTCACGTGGTCACATATTCCGAATATGATGTTTGTTGGAGTTTTAAGGGCTCGTCGTCGGTGGAATAATTATGTTCTCACGACATTACATTCCGAATATGAATTGCTGTTTTCCCGTGCGTTGTGTGCGCTGTCTTTATCGTTAAGTAACCAAGTATCCGCCACTGCCGCCAGGTCTCTCGGTCTGGAGGGTAATCTGTTCAAGCAGCCTCGGCCGGCGATCCTGGCCCAGGGCACCGCCTCCATCCTGCAGTATCTGAAGGACCGTGTGCCCATGTCGGAACGCACCGAGTAAGCCGCAGCCGCCGGCTGAGAAATCTTCTGGAGAACGTGCTAGACAGTAGATATTACAGCTTCCGCGGGGCCAGTTTATCATTAATCGGCTTCAATACTCGCTTTTCAGGACCTAATGCTGCGTGCACTTCGCATAATGATAGTCAGTAACCATGGTCCATTAGTGGGGTTTTACTGTTTTACTCATCTTTATCACTACGGTTTTATTTCGCGACACTGCTATGAGAATGCAATAGGGCGATGATTAGGGCAATGGGGTGATAGGGCCATTGAAGTGATTTTGTTGGTTGTTTTTGTCCACTCGGGAGGTCACTGGGGAAAATAAGGTAGATAAGCATCGCATCTGACCAGAGCATGGCTAGCAATCGAGTGATGCTGTTTAGCGGCTCATATGGCGCCGGTAGTGCTGACTGTGATATCTCCTCGGCTGAGCATTAGTAGCGGTGACACGGCTATGATGTAGTGCTGCACACGGTTTTGATCACACTCCACTGATCACAGTGTTCACTGTGGCTCATGCCTGCTTGTGGCGCGGCGTGGTGTCCGTGTCCGCAGTGATATTTACCGGTGATTGCCGATCCTTCTACACCCGGTGACAGCCAGCTCAGACGTCCGTTCGTGCGGCCTGCGTGCCTGTGTGCCTGTGTGGGATGGCCAGTTCCAATCAACTGACCGCGACCGGACACCTTCGTGCGAGGTCGGGTTTCACCAATCGGTGTGGGGCAGGAGACGGCATTTCCGTTCGGCCATCCCGGGTTGTGACAGCTTGTGGCGATGATGCCGTGTGATTCATACCTGCTGGATCAGGTGACCAGTCTGAACAGTTATTAGTTTGTGTGGATTTGTTGGTGTTTTGTGGGCACAGACTTGTACCATTGTGAGCTTTGGCAGCTTGGAGATGCTTTTGGGATAGTCCTTAATTATTATTTCATCATTGTGAACCGTCAGTACTACAGACAGTATATTGGCCAGCGTTCTATAATGTTCCGCAATTCCTTTGACATCTGAAATAATTTCTTTGAAGACCATCTTTTATATATTTGACGTTGCATAATGTTGGCGTTTTACTGTACTTAATCGAAAAATATAGCTTTTTTAACCTTAGATTATTTTATCTGGTTACTGTTAAATAAATTTGGATTTATTGATCTGTGACCAATGCATTTGTAAGAAATTTTGTTCCAATCGAGTATACATCGTTTTTTCCGTGGCAGATGGTCCCACCGCGTGAAATATGGAACAGCCATGGAGCGACACTTTGCCATATCGTTAATAGTTTAGTTGTACCTTCAGTTTGTAATTCCTCTGTCATGTCGGTTGATGTCTACCCTGTGAGAGTGTGCGAGCTGGTGTCTGCTCGTAATTGAATAACGGGACGTCAGATGCAAGCTTCGTGAGACGACTCAATATGCACGTTTAATCTGCAGTGCCTTGCATCGCTTCCCTAATGTGCATCGACTGAATACATTGAGCCACTACATGGTTGTTTTTGTCGTTATATATTTCATTAAACATATTTCAAACATCTCGCACTAACAGCGTTGCAAAGTAGGTCGCTGATGACACCCGTTCGCCATCTGAAAGTCTAGCGTTTCACACAACCGTCGCTATAATTGGAAGACCAAACATAATTGGGTCAGGTTGGCTTGTGACGTCATAAACAAATGGTGACGTGACGTTATTGAACCACGTCATAACGATCACGTAGGTCCATTCGTCTTTGCCTCTGGCTTGGCGGGGTAATTGTCGTCATTTCTCGAAGTCCAACCCATTATATAACAAGTTTTTGAATCAGTTCTCAATGCAGGGCTGGTCTTTGTATTCCGTAAACTGTCCAGTTTCAACTTCCAAAGATACATGCATCTAATGTGTACGACTAGGACCCGTATCGCGCTGGCCGCAGCAACAAGTGTGTGAGTACTAAGTACCAACCGGCGTCCGGCACCAATGACTGTCGCCCTGATGGGAGTTGTACGTGCTGTCGTCCCGGAAATGGGAGCTGTCGGCGATGGCTGTCGTTCCTGTGGGGAGCTGTCAGCAGTCGCTGTCGTATCGGGTGGGAGATGTCGGCAGTCGCTGTCGTCTCTGTTGGGGCTGTCGAAAGTCGCTGTCATCCCTGTTGGAAGTGTCGGTAGTCGCTGTCGTCCCGGGTGGGAGCGCGTATTTACAAATTGCAACCGAGCTCCGCCGTGGGGTAAGGTGGGCAGGGGTTTTCGCACTACGGCTGCGGTTAAACTACCGTCTGTGGTAGAAACTTCAGGACGATGGCGCGTTTCATACGAAATGTGGCGCAATGTTTGTTTGCTTCTGAACGTTCAGTGTTCTAAACTTGTACTGTCATTGCTGTGAATTCTTCAAGTGGGAGTGTTTCAATAACAATTTGTGGATTATTTGAGTTTCTTAATATAAACATAGAATAGTATTATGAAACATTGTGTGGAAACTGCAAATACTGATATGATCAATTACTTAGTTTGGGAATTGATACACATTTTGTAGAGATTTGTCTGGCAAATGGTGTAACAAACCTCAAGCCTATCATGATCTGAAGCTGTTGTAACAAATCAAAATTGCTTTGATGTTACATAGTACCTTGTTGGAAAGACTGGAGCATGGTTCAAGATGATGTGTAAAAATTCAAGATTGGTGGGAAAGCTTGTGACTGAAGAACGAAAACAGTTCTATATGATGGCTCAATCAAACATGGAAATGGACGACAAAAGTAGAGTTTCAACATTCCAGCATGTGAGAATAACTTCAGAAATTCATAATTGTTATAGTATTGCATTCTTCTTATGTACAGTTATAGGTTTGTTAGGGTATTTGAAATTCATTGTGTCAGTTGAGATATAGATGGATTGCGGACAAATTTTAGATTCATTGCATGGTAGCTAGGTATAAGGTACTTGTTTGTTAAAAAGGTATGTGATGAATGCCATGAGGTTTTTTATGATTTAATATATGGTCGTTGTTGTACCTACAAAAATGCAAGCTTACTAGCAACTAGTTTCTGAATCAAATCGAAAGTGTTTGCCATGAATGTAAATATGTACCTGCAAAGTATGTCAATAAATTTGTGTGATGTTGACCAGAGAGCTTTATCATCTGGGCATTTATGTCGCTTCTTACATTAGGTGTTAAGCATAGTAATTACAGATGAACTTTGTGCCAATATCTTCAATGCACAATGTATGTAGCATGTCTACAACCCTCACTGATCCTGCTATAGCTATAGGCATTTGGCACCAGCAAGACCAAGGGCATGAACTTCACAGTTGCTCAACCTTTTGCCATGTACCACCAGTCACTTTTTTACTTAAGGTGCACATAGCAGTGCACACAACAATGTGCAGAGGGCCTACACAAAAACAACATGATTAGTGTGCACTATGCACAGGATTGTACCCTGATTATTTGAATATTTTGATTACTCAACAGTCAACAGTCAGGAGATAATTATTAAATATCACAGTTATTATACATCACTTGTCAAACAAGAGCATGATGACACACATTTTGACAAGCAATCACTTGGTAGTATTCCAATAAGTTGGACAGCCATCGCCTTGGGCGTCATTTTTTCCAGGAAGGTACCTCTGCAGGTGTTGTGGTAGGCTAGGATGAATTGGGTCAAGTTAGGCGAAGTAAGGTGGTTAGGACCAGGTCAGACCATAAGGCCTGGTCAGGTTGATTTTAATCTTTCATTTTAATTTGACATAGATACCTATTACCTATGTTTTTGCTCCAGCCTGAATTTCTTTAGGTAATGAGTTAATTTTGCTTTGTTTTTATCTAATCTGTCTTGTTTTGTGTTTTGTCCCTTATATTTTGCCCTATAGGCAAGGGTGAAGCTTTTCCAGGGAAGGTGGTGGAGCATGATTGGAGGCGCTCAACCAGACGGCATCAATCAGGGCACGGTTTCTGAACGCGCACTGATGCCTGATTCAAGCCACGCTGTCTTCATGCGTGGCGGCGCGCTACTTAAAAGTCCCTAAAAGAACGGGAAGTGATGCCGATAGAACCTTCAATCATTCTGGGCTAACGCTTATGACTTGGAAAAAGTCGCGATCCCAATTCAATCGAAAACCTGTGGGCTCTTGTTAAGCAGGAGGTATATGAAGAGCCACCCGCCATAAGCACTGCTCAACCGCAGGCACAGGTTTAGACGGCGTTGGTCCGCATCAAAGCCAGTGTGCTGGAGAATCCATTGGCTGAAATGCTCCAGAACATTCGCCACTGTGTGGGTTCCTCATTTCCTCTCTGACTGTCCTTTGAAACCACTCCAAAGATATGCAGAAACCAACGAGGTGAGTAAACGAGGTGAGTAAACTGTGTTTTTTTATGAAAGGTGGCTACAAGCTCAGTTAAAAGAAAAAGTACCAGATTGTTTTGCTTTTACAGCGGGAAGAAAGGCGTCCGGATAATTTCGTTACAACCCCTGTGATGCTCAAATGGTTGCTAAATTCGAAATCAGCTCCAAAAACTAGCCTAGAAACATGTAAAACTCGAAAAAGTGAACCGAGGTCATCAAAGGTCATTGCGCTGACCTGACCTTCAGGTGACATTGACACCCACCATAATGCATGGGACCAGCATCATATCACATGTTTCAACGCTTGAAACTACGTGAAGACTGCAACCGCGCGGCTAATGCGAGCCGACATACGCCGAGTCGCGATTCGGGCCAAACATGGTCTCGAGAAATAGGTCACAGATCAAAGGTCATTTGGGTCAGGGTCATGAAATTTTCAGGGTAGGTGTAAAATTGATAAAATCGGGGGTATTGAAAGTTTCGTCGCGATCGGACGGTTTTTACGCGAGTTACTCACGAAAAACCGATAAAGCGCACCCAAAAAGGCAGAAATATGCACATGCGATATCCTATACTGCGAAAAAAGGTGCATCATTTTTGAACGTCGCGGACAAATTGTAATTACCATAAGCTCAGGCAGATGTATGGTAGAAAATCCCCCAAGTGAAATACACTACGGCGGAAAAAAATACCCTACGGCGGAGCTCGGTTGCAATTTGTAAATACGCGGTGGGAGCTGTCGGCAGTCGCCGTCGTCTGTTGGGGCTGTCGAAAGTCGCTGTCATCCATGTTGGAAGCTGTGGGCGCCGTCTGTCATCCCCGTTGGAAGTGTCGGTAGTCGCTGTCGTCCCCGTTGAAAGTGTCGGTAGTCGCTGTCGTCCCCGTTGGAAGTGTCGGTAGTCGCTGTCGTCCCTGGTGGAAGCTGTCATCAGTCGCCGACGCCCCTGTGCTGTCGCAGTTCTCATTCATGCCGAGTGGGGGTGTCCGGCGGTCAGCATCCCCGCCCCTGAATATGGTGTCCCTCTGAGTGCCGACGGCGCCTCAATGGGCCAATAGTGGTGATTGCTGGGCGCCGGCGCTGGCACACAATTGCGTCGCGAGAGTGCTCGACCGTCGGCGCCACGACGTGTCACGCGGCGCCGGCCGAGCCCAGGTAGAGCGGGGAGCGGCCGATGACGCACGCGGCGGCGTATCGACCGGCCGATGACGCCCGCCGGTGCTGCCGCTCTGTCCCGGCGGCGGCGGCGGCTCTCCGGGAGAGTCGGGCGGCCGCCAGCGCTGATCACATGAGGACGCTGACGGCCCGGGGGTGGCGGCAGAAAAAAAAAAAAACGCGGCGGTCCTGACGCAGCGGACACGGTCAATACCAGAGCTCCTTCGTCCATCATATGGAGATGAAGATCGCTCGGCAATGTACGACAAACGAGCAGCCCAGTCAGCTTATTGGTACGGAGAGATGTTATGCACGGGGCTGTGCCAGCGATGCATTCGATGAATGGAAGAATGAGAATGTTTGATGTGAGTTTTTGTTGTCATCTTTCTCAGAAATCAATCACGGAGCAGGAGAGCTATGATGACGGAACGTCACGGATATCAGTTATGCTATGGGTTCTGTTATCTGTATCTAGTTATTACATAACCGTTGCTGTTGACTATTTCTTGTTTTATATTGGTCGTTTTTTTTTATTTGTCAGTTTTAACTCCAGCTTTCTTGATCACTGACTATCTTTTGATTCACCATTTTTACCAGATATGCAGGAATGCACTGTATCTTCCTGCCCAGCTCTTAGGTACGGCCTTCCTGCCCAGTGCCCATTCCCTCGGTGGGCGCACCTCGCAATCATCGTGACATATATAAAATACAAATTACGCATTGGGTGAGTGCTCGTAGATCACTGATACCTATCATAGTATCACACAGTCTTGCGCTACCCAACTCTGACTTGAGTCTCATTCAGGCGGTGTGACTCCTTTGGGCATCCTCGTGGAAGCCATACGTGAAGACCGACCGGCTCCGAAGGACGCCAGATCCCGCAGAAAGGCGTACGTGGTCCTCAACTGGGACGACGGCCGCGCTTTTCAACTGCGCACTTTCAGACCGAAGCGTTTTAGGTCGATAGTTGTTGGTCGTTTTTTTTTACGCTTTTTGTGATGTTATCCGTTCCAAAGTCTTGCGTGGTACTTTTATTCCGTCATTTGCTTTCATTTATTTCCTCCCTACCGACCCAACCTTTCACGAATCTTTACCGTAAATGGTGAGCAGCTGTATCCATTCAGCGACAGCGAGCATCAGTGTCAGCCATTCCTCGCTGCTTGATCGGTCACTCTGACCTCATGACCCTACGTCCTGCATAGTAACCTCACCGTGACCTTGCCGTGACCTGCAGCGGCCGAGAGTCTCCTCGGCTCTGCCCGTCGCGCCCCGCCCACCGGATACTGGGGGGCGGCGCGTGCGCCGGCCGGCGTCGGCGCCGGCGGCGGCCGGCCGGCCAGACGCGCTGTCAGGTCTGCGGCGAGGACGTGCCCCGCCGTCCCGGTCAGCCCGTGCCGACCTGAGGCCAGTCGTCAGCGCGCGGTCGTGCCGCTGCTTCCTCCTGCCGACCCGCTGTATCACACGGCGGCCGGCCAAGAGTGAATGGAAAGAAGAAAGGTCGTGGACAGAAGAAGAGGCCAACAATTCCCGTCACGCAAAAGCTCGAAGCATTCGGTGCTGCTGGTGAGTGACTTTGCTCTTTCATTGGCGTATTCTTATGTCTGGGAGTGTGTTGACTGTTGTGCTTTGGTTATCTTGCATTTTAGGTAAATCTTCGCATCTCTCGTGACTCGCATCCCGAGCCCGTTTGCACCAGACCTCTTCCCGCCGAACCTATCGTGTCTCTTTGGACACGGTGGATGGGCGGCCTCGCGTCTTAGCCGTGTTCCGGGCAGGAAAGTGTAGTATGGTGTAGTGTGGCTGATATAGCTACCTGGGATGACAATTACTCCCGCCTGCCATTGATCCTATCTGTCCTGAGCGCTCGATGGCTCCGAGATAAAAGGAGACGGCGGCCGGCCGGCTGACTCTGCGGGATTGGGCCCGTCGGGTCCAGTCGGGTCCTGCGGGCGCCATTTAGTCCTAAGCTACCGTTATGCTGTGGAATGCGTGCTATAATTAATTAATTAGGCATCTAATTTAAATTATGAAAACAGTCTTTTCGATTACATCCATACCCTGTCGATTGCTGATCGAAATCTGGCAACCGTATTATCCTCAAATGAAATGGTGCTTGTTCGATAAACGCTAGATAACAAATGGATGCCTTCAAAGGTTAAAGAATAGTGATTCTGTGATGTCAGCCGTCACTCGCAAAATCTTCTACTACTAACGTCGTTCCGCTCGTCTTTGTCGTTTCCGCAGAAGCCGACAAGATGAGTCCGTCGACGAAGCCGACCCGGTACGCTGCCCAGGCCTGGATCAAGGAGAACCTGCTCCTGATCGCTACCATCTCCGGCGTGCTCATGGGCGTCGTTCTCGGTAAGGAGACGCTGTAGGTTAGGGATACAAGTCGGCTCGGATGACCGGCGCCCGAGCCAGTGCCAGACTGTCTGACGGGGAAGAGACCACCGGATTGGCGAGAGGAACAGGGTATCGTTCTTGCGAGTGTATCCTTCAAGATTTAATGGAACGGGATAATAAAGATAGAAAAAGTTATTACGGAGCGAGCGAAGCGAGCGTAGTCTTTACGGAGCGAGCGAAGCGAGCGTAGTCTTTCCTTAGATTAACGGAAATTTCTGAGTATGAGCGGCCGGCCGGCCGGCCGGCCGTGGTCACGCTTTTGCGAGGCTTATATCTCAGCAACCACTTGACCGATTTACATGCGGTAATTTTTGTAGGGTAGCTTCATTCCTTCTACCAAGTATTGCACTATTCCCAATGCATGTGGGTGACCCCTTATGCACGTGCCACGTGCAAAACGAAGAGGTGTCACTTTTGCAATTGTTGCAATATCTCGGTAACTACTGGGCCGATTGCGCTGAGACTTGGCATGTAGGTAGGCACCCACTAGACAATGCATATCCATGTGCCAGAGTTGGGGTGCTGCTGCACGTGCGCACGTGCAGGGGTCGTCTCCAGATCTCGAGAACGGCTGGACCGATTGCGCTCAAATTTGGTACACGGTTACGGAGCAGTTAGTAGGGTGCCGTGCACAAGTCAGTTGGGACCCATTTTGCACGTGCGCACGTGCAGGGTGCCGCTTCCAGATCTCGAGAACGGCTGGGCCGATTGTGCTCAAATTTGGCACATCGCTAGAGACCGGTTAGTAGGGTGCCGTGCACAAGTCAGTTGGAGGTACCCCCTCGCAATTTCGCACGTGCAAGGCCCACCCTCTCGCTCGCTCCGTTAGTCGCCCCAAAAGGCGTTATACTGGTTCCTTAGATTAACGGAAATTTCTGAGTATGAGCGGCCGGCCGGCCGTGGTCACGCTTTTGCGAGGCTTATATCTCAGCAACCACTTGACCGATTTACACGCGGTAATTTTTGTAGGGTAGCTTCATTCCTTCTACCAAGTATTGGACTATTCCCGATGCATGTGGGTGACCCCTTATGCACGTGCCACGTGCAAAACGAAGAGGTGTCAGTTTTGTAATTGTTGCAATATCTCGGTAACTACTTGGCCGATTGCGCTGAAAGTTGGCATGTAGGTAGGCACCCACTAGGCACTGCATATACATGTGCCAGAGTTGGGGTGCTGCTGCACGTGCACACGTGCAGGGGTCGTTTCCAGATCTCGGGAACGGCTGGACCGATTGCGCTCAAATTTGGTACACGGTTAGGGACCGGTTAGTAGGGTGCCGTGCACAAGTCAGTTGGGACCCATTTTGCACGTGCGCACGTGCAGGGTGCCGCTTCCAGATCTCGAGAACGGCTGGGCCGATTGTGCCCAAATTTGGCACATCGCTAGAGACCAGTTAGTAGGGTGCCGTGCACAAGTCAGTTGGAGGTACCCCCTCGCAATTTTGCACGTGCAAGGCCCACCCTCTCGCTCGCTCCGTTAGTCGCCCCAAAAGGCGTTATACTGGCAGGGGCGGATCCAAGGGGGGGTCACATGGGTCATGGCCCCCCCTTGAGGCCCGGGGGCCCAAAGACCTGCCAGGGGCACCACCGGCCTATCAGGGGTATCACAGTCCTGACAGGGGCACCACAGGACCGCCAGGGGCACCACAGGACCGCCAGGGGCACCACAGGCCTAGCAGGGACACCACGGACCTGGTGCCCCTGGGCCCTGACAGGACTGTTACGCCCCTGACAAGCCTGAAGTGTCCCCGGCAGGCACGTGGTGCCCCTGACAGGCCTGAGGCGCCCCTGCAAGGCCGGTGGTGCCCCTGGCAGGCCTGTGGTGTCCATGGCAGGCCTGTGGTGCCCTTGCTAGGCTCTGGTGCCCCTGACAGGCTTGTAATGCCCCTGGAAGGACTGTGGTGCCCCTGGCAGGCCTCTGGTGCCCCTGACAGGCTTGCGGTGCCCTTGGAAGGACTGTGGTGTCCCTGGGCCCTGACAAGCCTGAGGTGCCCCTGACAGGCCCGTGGTGCCCTTGTTAGGCCTGTGGTGCCCCTGGCAGGCCTCTGGTGCCCCTGGCAGGTCTGTGGTGCCCCTGGCAGGTCTGTGGCGCCCCTGGCAGACCTGTGTTGACTGGTGCCCCTGCTAGGTCGCTGGTGCCCCTCACAGACCTGTGGTGCCCCTGGGCCTTGACAAGCCTGAGATGCCTGGCTATGACAGGCTCGTGGTGCCCCTGATAGAACAGTGGTGCCCTTGCTAGGCCTGTAGTGCCCCTGGCAGGCCTCTGGTGCCCCTGCTACCCCTGCGCCCGGAGAGGACTATGGTGCCCCTGAAAAGCCTGAAGTGCCTCTCGACAGGCCCGTGGTGCCCCTGACAGGCCCAAGTTACCTCTGCGAGGTCGGTGGTGCTCCTGACAGGCCTCTGGTGCCCCTGGCAGGTCTGTGGTGCCCCCCCTGGCAGGCCTGTGTTGACTGGTGCCCCTGCTAGGCCGCTGGTGCCCCTCACAGGCCTGCGGTGCCCCTGGAAGGACTGTGGTGCCCCTGCCCCAAGGGGTGCTCATGGGCCCAACAGGCCCGTTGTGCCCCTGACAGGCCTGTCGTGTATACTTGCTAGACCTGTGGTGCCCCTGCTTCCTGGCAGGCCTGTGGTGCCCCTGCTTCCTGGCGGGCCTGTGGCGCCCCTACAAGGCCGTAGGTGCCCCTGACAGGTTTGTGGTGTCCCTGGAAGGACTTTGGTGCCCCTGACAAGCCTGAAGTGTCAAGGACAGACCCTTTAGACGCCAGGGTCAAGTTCGTCGGACTGACAACGATTCGCTTACCTGATAACGTTCCTGGTAAGTACTCACTACTCAGCGTCCACAACATATATACACATAACACATTCATATATACTTGCTTACAATTGGTAAATGTGGTTGTGGGTAAGAGTTAAGATACCTACTGACTAAAAATAAAAAAAAATAAATAAAAAAAACTGAAAATGGGGGCACCACCAAAATTAAGTGGACGAAATCCGTTGAGTTTTTAATTTTGGGTATAGGTAGGGGCACCACTTCGATTCATGACCCTCCCCTTGGAGTTTTCCTGGATCCGCCCCTGTATACTGGTCATATTACCGTTTAACTCCTGAACTTAACACATTTCGAATTTCAATTTATTTTCAGATTTTTAGCATTTGTAGATGATAGTATTTTTTTCCAGATGATATGAAAGATCTTAACGAATTTAGTCCTTGTTTCACACTTTTATTTCAAGCTTCCATCGTCATACACGGCCGCGGCCAAGTTCGTTTGGGGGAAAACGTGGGTGCAAAAACATCATCGATTGCGAAAATGTGAGTCATCCACAACTGGTGCCACATAGTCCTATACATACACGATGCCAGTTGTGAATGTCTAGCATGCTCGCATCTACTGATGTCTTTTGCAGCCACGTTTTTCCTTGCGTTGATCAATAAAGGACAACGGATGATATTTCAACGCACCTTGCCGAAGCTTGAAGCTTTGCATTTATGCGCAATGTTTTCCGTGTCCTTCGGGACGTCAACTGACAACTGAAGTTCGGTTGACCATTTTTTTAACACAATATACCCTATGCGTAGCGTTAATTATCGGAACCATGCCTCGTGCCCGTTTTTAAAATAAGAGGTTAAATCTTCTCAGCAGATAAATGTAAGTAGTTAACCATATATACCTTCTATATCTACGTGTGACTCACCATGCTGTATTGCTGTACCAATTTTCCATGATAGCAGTAAAAGTAAGGCACTTATCCAAATGAATACGGACGTCTGGTGGAGCTCAGTCTCCTAGGCATGGCTGTTGCCATGGTAATACATCCGGAATCGCTGCCGATAATCCAGGCGACGACCAGACACCATGGGCTCTCCGAGACGGCCAGACGGATATCGTTAGCTGCTCACTGCTCAGGTTACCAGCTGCACAGATCATACTTAAGGTGACTCAAATGCAGGCAGTTTATGCTGGCCCTCAATGTAAACAGAATTGTTCCAGGAGAGGCACTGTTGATGGTCATTTCCAGATCTTTCTGTCGGAAATGACGGTGATTTATATTACATGTAAGCATTATCGCATTGTCTAGCTCCACCTGAGTTTTCGAGCGTGAATTTCAAGTCGTCTCTGAAATCGCACCTCCTCATCTCACAGACAAGGGCTACCGGTACACGTCCCACACACTGGGGTGTAACCATGTGGCTGTCGCTATACAGCGTGCCGCTCGCTCTGTCGAGTGATGAGCCTTGTTCACCGCGCGTGTGACGGCTCATGATCAGACTGCTGGCCGAGCTGATAAATGCACACACATTCACAGACGGGCCCGAGCGGCGTGACGGGAAATACATGACACGAAAATTCAGAGGGTGGCGAATAGTTGAGAAGAAGCACTGAAAGCCAATTTGGTGCTGGCTGAACTCAATGCGTACAATACGAGTAGACATAATTTGCGGCAAACTGCAGAGGCGCGATGAAAAATAGGTATTCGGGAACGTTTTGACAATCACCTCTCAAGGTCCGACTGTGCCGTCACTCATGTTATAAATTTTTGGTTCTTATGCCTATAGACTGTAATCGACGGATAAGAATTGCCCGATATTTTCCGCTAATATAAATAATATGTATATTATATTTACCGCACCAGTCTGGCTGGTGAAGATAACCAGAAAATTCAGAATAACTGTGTGTAAAATGGAATACTCCTTTCGAAACCCGAAACAATTTTCCTGAGAAAGATGCACATGTGTGACCAGTGATCACATATGGCGTGTCGTTCGGGGCTTTCAATGGACCTTTAGATCGCCGGCTGCCGCTCCGGTCTCTGTTTAGAAAGTGTACGGGACCATATGTGGCTCCGTTCCGGTTAACTTAAAACTAGACAGCGGTAGCTAGCTACGAGTACCTACTCCGGACCTGGCTGTCTCCGGGCCGGATCATGGCCTAGTATCGTGCCTGCTCCAGCTCATTTTGGACCAGACACATCTTCCGTACTAGGCTCAGCGACTCTACCCTGTGCTCCCCTTCTGATTCTGAACATAGTTGGCCGGTGACTGAAACTCAGGAGTACCTACACGTGGAAAGCTCGGTCCTCTGAAAGGGTCCCATGCCTGAGTTTGCTTCGACCTAACGTATAACGTATTTGATCCTCAATTTCTCAGACTTGCTAGATACCATCAGGCATCACGATTCCCTGCATTGCACATATTCATATATGTTCTCCTGTCTCATTATCCAACTCACCGCTTAAATATCCAGGCCTTCTTGGGAGGTAAAGTCGTGACAACATGACAAAACGAACCTAAAATGCCAAAAGTTTCGATCACATGCTGCTTTCGTCAGTGGGAAGTGGATATTGTGAAGAAAAAAATCAATATAATGATCGCATTGATATAACGAATTACTTCACTCACCAAGTTCATATCTCTAATGTGTCTGATATTTCATAGTTTACTTGAGGAATACATATGTGTATCGTTAAAAAATTATTCGGTCTCGTTCAGTGTCACTCAACTCTCCTTAAGTCACCTACCCCTCGGTCTTGCCCTGCCCTGCTGACGTGTCGGCGCCCCCGGTGTGCCCGCAGGCGTTTCCATCAAGCCGTACCAGCCGAGCGAGACGGCCCGACTGCTGATCGCCTACCCGGGCGAGCTGTTCATGCGGCTGCTGAAGCTGATGATAGTGCCGCTGGTGATCGCCAGTCTGGTCACAGGTCAGTCGGGGTCACCGGGCTGGAACGGGAGAGGTCGGGTCAAAGAGCCAACATGTCACAAAGTCAGTCGAACATGTGTAGTCGTTAGTCCGCCATGTCAAGTAAGGGATCTTCGATTGGCTCGTTTGACAATTTCTTGCAGGCGTAAAATCACTTACCTAAAAGTACTTGAAAATACACATGCTGTTGTTACGGTGGAAGCGTGAACACTCAACAGTCTCTTATTTATTAATCGAGCTCTAGAAAATATGATAGTGCCTACGTTGTGAAATAAAAACCAGAACAATGTTATCTTGAAAAAGCTGTGCGACTAAGTGCTCTTCAACATTGACTTGGCGTTATTTTAGCCCCGTGATCGAGTGAATCCCCTTGATCGGCACATTGTCTCATACCAGTCACTTGTTTGACTCGTAAGCTTTGGGGAAGGGTCGACTGAAGGTCAACCTCACGGAGCGTGTTTTGGAGCGCCGGAAGCGGACTGACAATTCGTGGGTGAAGCCATAGAGATCTTATACAGGGTGTTAAAAAGAGACGATAAATAGGTAATCGTTATATCTCGGAAAGTAATTATGCTATGAGAATTATTAATGTGTCATTCAAAAGGTAGGGTAGCCTGGGGCAAGACGCCCCAGATAATTTATTTTGCTACATAAATTTTGTCCCACATCACCTGAAAGGCCAAATTTGTGCTCAATGCGTTCTTTGGACATTTTACTTTAAATTGCACCCCTCAAATTGATTCACTTATGATCGGACTCCAAGCTAGGAAGTGATTTGTGAAGCAACTGCAAATGGGGCATTTTGCCCCAACCCCAGGGCAAAACGCCCCACGGCCTGGGGCAAGTAGCCCCATACCTTAGATTAAAGATTTAACATGGTAGTTGGCTAAATCTTATGTGAGAGGTCCGTTAGACCTCTGGAGGCACGGCACTGAAGTTAGCACATTCCATCCTTTCAGGTGCTCAGCATATGACACTGTTGTATGAGCAGGTTTTTCACCTACCTCATAAGACCAAATAATAAATTATTGCAATGCAAATGTTAACAAAATACTTCCTTTGCCATCCAGTTGCTGAGAAAAATACACATAAAGGCATAGAAACTTACTGTTCGCCAGCTACCGAACATTAGAAAGTGGGTAGCCCCAACAACACAAGAGGTAAAACGCCCCAGGGGCTTTTTGCCCCGCGACCTTCTGGGGCGTTTTACCCCATCACGTAGTTCGGTCAGAGAACAACGCCTTGCACTCCAGTAAGACATAATTTAACACGAACCAACCCGGCATGATAAGCGTCAGACAATAGTTGTTCAAAATACATAAAAGTCGTTAACCTAATGTGGACCATAAAAGAACGCCATGATTCATAATCTGACAACAAAACATAAAAATCACTCAAAAAACACATTTTTAGCTATATCTCCCGAAAGAGTCATCACAATTTCTTTCCAGTCTGCTCATATAATGATCATATAGTGCACGTTTTATAGAAGAGATGATGTTTCCCCAGAACCCTGCCAGTTCCGAGAAACATCGGTGAGGCGTTTTACCTCGGCGGGGCGACTTGCCCCGGTCTACCCTAAGTATTGAAAGTTTTTTTATGGTGCGTTGGTTTTTATTGTCCCGCACGAATATTGGCCGTGCCACCTGACAACATCTCGTGCCTAAAAAATATAATATCTTACAAAGTTCACCAACCCATGACGATAGGTTTTTTTAATGAAATGTTTTCTGGAAAAGCCTTCTTACGAGAATGGGAGATGAATATCAATTAAACCAATAGCAGCATTGGACCTTTTGCTCGTCTGCGAACTGATTCATAACACCGAATGACGCCGGATGAAGAGATCAAGTTTGCCAACTCAAAAAATTATCTTTTTGGTATATAGTGGTCTACGCATACGGGGATAAAAACGGAGCGAGCAAAGCTGTTGACTCGATATTTTGATTTGCTGGATTTTGAAAACTTTTTCCTACGTCAACACTTTGCTCTTATAGCATTAGGCACATTTTGTCGAGCGGATGATAATTCCACACCACTGTCAGTTTGACGTCAGCGTAATTCACAAATAATTAAGGCTCATCCCTGCATTAAAAACAGACATGCTTTAGCTTTGATGTAGATTCTACGCTCTCGGAATCTCGGCGGCACTACGCTTGGGCAACTCGGCGGACATCGCATTTGGCGATGGTAGGCTAGCCCGCAACGCACTGGTGCACGGCGGCACAGACTAACGGTCAGTCGTATTTGTGATCAGCCCTCTCGCTCAGGGTATCTCTCGCTGGTGCTCGCGATGCGAATTGCGAGCAAAGACGAATGTAAAGCCAAGATCAGTCGGTGACACGCCAGGGAAAGAAGCTAAAATTAGAGCGCTCTATTTATTGCTCCCGCTACTTCACCGTCTCCCATAGGGTCCTGTGTTGAGCTGGTGTCGAGGCTCTAAAAATGACGCCGATTTTTGCACCCTTCTCACAAAAACCGCTCGGACCGCCTGGAAACTAATTGTTCCGCTCTAAAAATTTCATGATCGACGGGAAAATGAATGAGGAAAAGATTGGTCCTGAAATAATTCTGAACTCCCTGTAGAACATATCGAAATATGGCTGCAAACTAGGAGCATGTCAAAATCGACAAAACAATACAAATAGGACGCGTGTATATCACACCACGGTGAGATTTACATAATGCATCGCACTGTAGCGTAAACCTCACCCGGGTGTGATTTACACAATACACTACTCCTGTGTATATCACACCACGCGGAGTGTGATTTACACAGTGGGCCGGCAATGCGTAAATCACACCGTGGTGTGATATACACAATGTGCTCCTAGTGTGTAAATCACACCCGGGTGTCAGACCACGCAGCACCTGGGTGTGATTTACACAGTAGGCCCGGCAAATGCGTAAATCACACCGTGGTGTGATATACACAATGTGCTCCTAGTGTGTAAATCACATCTGGGTGTCAAACCACGCAGCACCTGGGTGTGATTTACACAGTAGGCCTAGCCAATGTGTAAATCTCACCAGGGTGTGATATACACTGTGTGCTCGGTAGTGGGTAAATCACACCTGGGTGTCAAACCACGCAGCACCTGGGTGAGATTTACACAGTAGGCACGGTAACAAGACACTTAACCAAACCTTAGACCTGACCTGACCTGACCTAACCTAACCTAACCTAACCTAACCTAACCTAACCTAACCTGACCTACTGATTTTTGCCTACCCGTGGATGAGGAAGAAGGTACTCGCATGAAGAGATTGCAAGCAATGGTAAGTCAAATATTTTTAGGTTAAGTGGTTGTGCATCAGGCTTCAGGCCTTCGGCCTGAAGCCAGATACACAACCACTTAACCTAAAAATATTTGACTTACCATTGCCTGTAATCTCTCCTAAGGCATTGCCTTCGGCACTGCACCGCTTCGCCACGAGCATTCAGACGTCGCTTTCCATATTGTATTGGTGCTTTTAAACTTGTCGGTCGGCAGCGAACCCACCGCTACCAAGGAAAAGCGAAAATGCGGGAAAAAGCGCCCGCACCGACGGGACTCGAACCCGCAACATTCGTATCATGGTGCAAGCACCTTCACCACTAGGCCAGGCGGTCACCTGATTCCGAGAGAGAGGACGCCCGGAATGCCGCCGGAATATTCGTAGTGCTTAGTCTGATCTGACCAATGGGCGAGCAGAGTCACTGCTCTGACCAATGGACGTTCAGCGTTGCTATGACGTCACATCGTGGTGAGATATACACACAGCTGCCCTCTCTGTGTATTCCTCACCCGGGTGTGATTTACACTACGTAGTAGATTTTGTGTATATCACACCGGGGTGGGTGTGATTTACACAAATGGCCGGTATTGTGTAAATCTCACCGTGGTGTGATATACACGGTCCCATACAAATAAACTTACCGGGATTTTTTTATTTTCCATGCATCTGTGTATGAAATCAGTCGGTTTTTCAGAAAGATAATCATCTGTTTAATAAATAATTCCACAATTGCAATCGAGAAAAAAAAACATTTCTGCTGTGACGGCAGTTCTGGCATTGTGCCAGTAGTGTGGCGTGCGCGGTGCTGCGTGGTTGTCGGGACGGAGTTGTGAGTATTTTCGGTGTTTTAAATGGTTGATGGCCATTTGAACCAGCTTTATATTATTTCCTACAAATTTTTGCATCAAATTATTGCTTTGAAAGACCATTGAAACCCCTTATCTCTTCATGAAACACTATCATATTTATCGTCGACGAAAATGGCGCGGGACCCCATGTGCGTTCCGATCGAAATAAATCGTAAGTTAAATAATATTCGATGATAAGTATCATATTCTAGTGACACATTTTCATAAAATAAGGCATAAACTTTGTAAGGAAGTCAACATTGGATGATTGGATTCTTATTTTGCTCACATATCCTTGTGTAGTCAAATGGCTCAATTGTTAGATAAATGTAAGCATATGTTTTGGCTTGATGTTTGCTGTGAAACCACCCAGCCACTTGCTGGTTGAGTGGTTTTTGATAATTACCTGATAACCATTTCTCCTTTTCCTTAAAAAAACTAAAATTCTTTTCAAAGTAATCCATTTTTAGGAAAGGCGGCTTGCTCATTGACATTTCATGCTCTTGTTTTGTCATTGCTGGCAGTATTTTGATACAATAATGCAATATGAATTTTTTGCAATAATAAAACCTAAGACTAACCTAGTTAATGCGTCAATCAAACACCCAACAGAAAGATTGTGAGTCCTTGTGACGTGAAGTAGAACATTCTATGAATGTGTTGTATAGAATATGCCAAATTTTAAATTAATTTATTATTTGATACTGATAGCTGAGCATGTGAATTATGCCACAATATAATTTCATTTTCTGGTTTTGAAAAAGCCGGCAGTATTTTACTTCAACAAATGTAATATACATGGAATACATGTTGTTATGTTATGTTAAAAGTTTAATAACAGCAAACAGAAGGGGCTGTTTCAGCAGATAATGTT